ACTATATTTCCCACAAAGCACAAGAAAAGAGAGACATTCGGCATCATCCCTCTCTGTTTGTCACGATGAATTCAGGCTCTGAGACTTGGCTCCTTTTGAAAGGAAATCAGAGTCTTGAGTGTTTAAGATTTAGCTAGTTATGCAGCAGTGTTGCTATAGTTACCTGCAGTTTAATATCATTTACACACTGATTTTCAAAGCTGTTGTTAAAGTGAGGACTGTAATTATGTTTCAAGCGTGTAGGATTTTAACACAGGAATACAGCTGATTGGATGTGACTATAAACGGCACCATTAAAAAAATCTCTAACTATAACCTAAAGATAAGTTTCCTCCCACAGGATAAGGCACGGACGCAGGACAAAATATTTTAAGTATTCATGACATTTAAATGGTGGGGAGCGCTCAGTGGCTGCTCGGGGAGAGGGATTTGTATGAAGGGGACGAAGCTGTCGTCACCACGGTGATTAATTAGGAGGGAAGGGACAGATCTGTGTTTTAGTTAATTAGATGGTGGAATATCCTCTGGGGACAGACAGAGAAGAAACTGTCAGAAAATCAAAACTGATGACCGTTTAGGTGAATTTGCCCCAGATAAGTAGTCAAAACAACTTAAAATAAGACTGTTTGAATACATGTTGATCCTGGTAACCACTGTAAAGACCCAGAAGTACAGGAGGACTTCTATTTTAATCTGAAGATGGCACTAGATGAGAAGAAGGCGACTGCAATCTCATGGTAATGAATCCAACAGTTGTCAATACATTTCCCTAACGGCCCGTCCACACGGCGGCGTGCGTTGAAGCTTCTGCCCATTCACTTTGAATGGGGTGACGTCACGCTTTGCCGAACTGCATTGTGGTTCCGTCGCTTCGCTTTGCTCGCTTCAAAAGTTGAGCAAAGTTCAACTTTTGAAGCTTCGACGGAAGCGCCAGCCAATCAAATCATATGCCAGAACAAGCTCTAGCCAATCAAACCGCTTGCTTGTGTGTCCGGGGCGGGAGATTCATGTGATTGGTTGTTGGTCGAGCTTCAGACACGCCCGCCGGCAAGCTTCAACGCACGCCGCCGTGTGGACGCTGCGTTAGAGTAGCACTACGGTAGCACTAGATTAAAGGTCAAGGAATCACCAAAATCAGTAAGATGAATCGTCTCGGGATCATGAATGCTTGTACACAATCTCATGGCAATCCCTTCCATAGGTATTGATATATTTCAATCTGAAGCAAAGTGATAAACTGACCAACCAACCGACTGACATCTCTAGAAACACAAGATCAAGAAACCGTAACTATAACATGTTCAAGACTTCCTAAAGGGGCGGTGAGTGAATGAAACCATGACACCAATTAAGATTGAAGTGAAGAGAATTGAATGCAGGTTTCCAGCGGAGTAGTACTTCCTTTGAAGTAAAATAAGGCAACAATTTATATATTTATCTGAGATACTGTCAGATGCATTAGCCTTTGGGTTATGCTACATTTCTTGGATTGGCACAGTTAATTGTACTGCATTATGTATGAAAAAAAGGACATATTTGAACTATTTTACGACTCTACTCATTGTTTCAGCATGTGTCTAACCGTCCTTGCACATGAGACCATCTTTAACTACAGATCCTGTGTATAACTTTATTTGTATCAACAAAGCATCTCAATGTTTTTTAGTCCTTTAGATGTAAGAAAAATGTAGAGCTCCGTTTGCATGTAGATCTGATTTCATCCAGCAGGTGGCGCTTTCCTCTCAGCTGCTTCACTAAAAGGAGGTCAGCTGTGAAGAGTCCACACACACACACACACACACACACACACACACACACACACACACACACACACACACACACACACACACACACACACACACACACACACACACACACACACACACACACACACACACACACACACCACACACACACACACACACACACACACACACACACACACACACACACACACACACACACACACACACACACACACACACACACACACACACACACACACACACACACACACACACACACACACACACACACACACACACACACACACACACACACACACACACACACACACACACACACACCTTTCCTCTCTTTATCTCACTTGCTTTTTCATCTGGTGACTTCTCTGTCTGTCTCAGAAACTTTTACTTTTCTCTAGAGGTTTGGTTCGGATCATTTCCCCTCATGACTTCATCCTCTGCCCACCGGCAAACACACACTTTTCCACTTCTTTCTTTTTCCATCCATCTCCACCTCTTCCTGTTGTAACGCTAACATAAAGCTTCCTCACATGATCTCCTGTATTTGCTTCCCTTGATCGTACAGTTTTCTCACTGCATGCCATCAATAATATAAATCTCCCTCTTCATATTGAATAATAAAATACTTTTCTTTGAGCCCAGTATCGCGGCTTGTTAAGTTAAACGTCTTCGATCCTTTTCATGTGTCTACACATCTCCTTTGATCCCGGGCCTGATCTTCAGCCGAGGAGAAACGTAGACACATTCCATATTGTTGATACTGATCCAAGTGGAGTTGAATTCTACTGAAGCAGAGAAACTGATTTGTATTGTGCCGTTAACTCGGGATCACAGGTTAATTATTTTTGTTTAATTTTTGTTGATTCACAAAGAGGGACATTTCTCAAGTTAATTGACCACGAGAAAATAAGTTTAGTTTTCTTGGGCTCACAGGTAATTATGGAGAAATCAAAAATACGTTTTTGAGATTACAACTAATTTAAGGTATTAAGGAATCAGGACTGGGGGGAGGATTCCAGTGGTGAACCGTGTCTATCACAACTGGACCTTCTGTAGACACACGATGTTCAGCCGGATAATCTCCACATGTCTACCCTACTTTTATCATTTTATAATCTAGTCGCCAGAAGCAAAATGCTAACGTTATGCTATAAACGAACTACAGTACAGCAGGGTCGCTGCTTCGACGTCACGCCAACTTAAGATCCATATTCAAAAATACAGATTCTAAATGGTACAAGTTGAAGCGTTTGTTTGAACAGTTTGCAGGAGGCAGGTACTTGCTTTCAAGCAGAACACGGGGGAAAACAAACTTAGAGGGAGTGTTTACGTGTTCGGCGTAATGACGTACAACGGCCTCGACAACTTCTGTAGTCCTATTCAGCCACTTGGTAACAACCATCGTTTTTCAGACACGTCAACTCTTCAGAAATCACCAGTGGGGTCACTGCTGATGTGTTTAATGTCGTAGAACAAACCGTGATCCGTCTCTTCAATGTGTCTCAACCACAGACCTTATTTCCAGCTAGTTTCCTAAACCCTATGGAGAAATTGCATTCCTTTTTTGGCGAAGGAACCGGAAGTGGTCAAATGCTAACTTACTTCCGGGTTTTAGGACGCGTCACTGTGGCACTCTATAAGGCCTTCCGCACAATAACTTTAAATATAATAATGTAAGCATTCATACTGACATACAACAGTAAAGTTCTGTAAACCCTGGCGCCAATATATAACATAGGTAAGGATGTTTTTAGGCATTTTAAAGTCGCAACATTTTTATATTTAAGTTGGAATCATGAATTTCTAGATAAAGGTTGTTAAATCTAAGACTCCATACTGCAGAACCATGTGTTAATGCGTGCATAAAAGCACATTACGCCCCATGAATATGGATTCAGGAGCACCAGACAATGCTGCCATTCGTGTTTCTCTCAATTCTCCTCTGATTTCATGGAGTACTTTTATATTATTGTATTTTCTTTGTTTCGTAAATGTAAATCCATTGTTTCCAGGAGAAAGCGTCTCAGGTACAGACGGTGAATGTCCCTCGTTGCTGCCTTTCATGGTGAGCCAGTTTTGCCACGCACCGTCGTGCCTTGGCTGCAGCTGTTTATAGCGTATGACACCGGCAATATGATTAGCTGAGAAGAAAAGTAATTAATCACAGCCGCCTCCGATTTATGCTTCCACCTGACGCAAAGGAAAATTAAAACGGTCTGCATGGATGCGTCAGCTCCTATATGACTAACAGCTGCAAGTGGGTTCAGATGTGTCCTAATTCTCTATATGATGCAGGGATTGTGGAAGTTATTGCACGGACGAAAATAAAAGAGCACAGTCTAACTTTCTTATCCCTTATTTGATCATATGCTCGAAAGGAGATGAAGAGAGTTAAAGGTCCCCTATTATACTGTCTCTCATCAATATATTATAGGTCTCAGATATATACAAACCATGTCTCAGCAGCATCCCATAATCCCCTCTGTTTCAGCCCTGTTTCAAAAGTGCTGATTCTCTGTCTGTTACTTTAGATGAAAATAAGGAGCCCCTCCCCACGCCCCTCTGAGAGATATTTGGTTACAAAGAACACAATGGTGCTCTAGGAGGAGATTCAGGTGATAAGGGGGGGGGGGGGGGGGTTACCTTGGTTGCTGATTGGCTAATGGTTACACAAGACAAAACATCGTTATGACATCATAAAGTGGCCAAAATCTGATCAGCTCATTTTCAGACAGGTTTTTATATAAATGGATCAGGACAAAAAGAGAGAGAATCTTTGTTCCTGAAACTTTCAGAGTCTCTTTACACAGAGGGGACACATGTTGATGAAGAAGAGACATGAAGAAGAGGGGACACATGTTGATGAAGAAGAGACATGAAGAAGAGGGGACACATGTTGATGTAGAAAATACTTATAAAAGTGCATTTTGCATAATAGGTCCCCTTTAAATCTGACGGCAGATGGGAATGTTTCGTCTGTTTTTATCCCCAGAGAACACCTCTCCGTTAATATAAGTTCCTTCTTGTTGACGACACACACTTACATTATCTAGGACACATAGGTTGACCTGATCACGGGGATATTATGAGTTAAGTGATATTCCTCTGTGCGTTAGAACTCGTTTAGTGTATACGTGTGTGTGTGTGTGTGTGTGTGTGTGTGTGTGTGTGTGTGTGTGTGTGTGTGTGTGTGTGTGTGTGTGTGTGTGTGTGTGGTCTTCAGTGTGTACGTACAGTATCTGCAGGGCGGAGATCTTGTCTTTGAGCACCTCCTGGGCCTTGTTGAAGTCTGACAGCATGTTCTGCGTCTCTCTGCTGTGGACGGCGCTCATCTCGGCGAGCTCCCTCTCGTGCCTCTTCGTCAGCTCTTGTTCGTGAGCCCTGAGGAGAGAGAGGAGGGGATGATGTAGTTTCTAAGTGCAGGTTGAAATCACTTAACAGGACTCTTTAAACATGTTAAACCTCCCCTCGAGTTTAACTTACTACAAACAATCTTATCTGGATGAAATTCTGAAACAAGTGGCTGTAGTTTAACAGCAATGAAAGTGTCCTGTATGGATAATAAAAGAGTAATCACAGTGGTTTAGGTGTTCAGGTGTTAAGGTTGCAATTCAATAATGTAAAATGATCCATTACAAGTGAGTCCTTTATTCAATTTCTATACATTTCAGAAGTATTATCAGCTAAACTGACTACATTTTGTAACTAAAAGCACTCATTCGATCTTTATTTTGTATTTATTGTTAGCATACTTGTGAAAATGTAAGTAACATCAAACTGGAATACAGTAAAGCACAAGTACTCAAAGATGACGCTCTGCAACTGTGCTTTTTTTTTTTTAACCTGTATCTGGCTGTTTTAATGGACACTTCGTTATTATGCACAATATTCTTCTGCTACATAATTATAATTAAAGTATAAACAGACAATCTGGGTCATATTAAAGTTAGGCGACCATGGCTGTTATGTGCTGTTTTTTTTTATTACAGAACTATTGTTATACGTCATGTAATAAAACAAAAGAAAGTTGTAAGAATAAAGCGATACCAGTAACATCACAAATCAAGCTTTGACCAGATTAAACAAACAACTGACAAAACACCACCAGTGTCTCAGGCATAGCACACATTTTTTAAAGTGTGACATTTTCCCCTTTAAGAGTTAATCAGGAGCTGCAGCCTCTCCTCTCTCTATCTGTTTCTCAGGAGAAGCGGACATAATGGATTGTTCCACAGAGGAAAGGTTGGTGAGATTAGAAAAAGGGAGAATGAATTCCTAGAGCATAATAACAACATACTATCGATGTGAGTTTGCAAATAAAATCACAGCACCAAAAGACATGAATGTGTTATTACATGTATGTATTATGTAAAGCAGGATTACTGTTGAGGGCTTTCCATACCAAGAGATATAGCAATACGTTTTAAAAATAATGACGTGCAAATCCACACTAGTTCTGCTTACAGTACATTGGTGCCAAACATAGCATCGATTTAGTCATTTCACTGCAGAAAATGTAAATGTTAAATAAGTCTAAGTTTGAATTAATGGTCTTATTAGACAACGATCTTTAAATCAAAGACTCCACACTTCAGATCGATGTATGAGAGCAAAAGAAAAATACATGAATATGGTATCACATGTATGTATAATGTAACATGATACACACAGGAAGTATGTAATAAATATATCTTCTTATCAAAAGAAGTATTCAATTTGAACAAGTAGAAGGTTTTACTCTGGGAGCTCGCAGCTGAAGAGAGAGGAGGAGGATGCAAAATGGGAATAAAAGATGAGAATAATTAAATGAAGAGGAGAAAAAGTCTGATGAAAGGGCTGTGAGGGATGAAGGAGAAACAGCGCTGTCTGTCTGCCTCTCACTCTGACTGGGCCAACTCTCCCCGAGGGGCGCACATCTTATCTCTCTCTGCTTCCTCTTTATTTATTTATTTATTTATCAGCCTATTTTTATCCCTGTGACCAGGATTCAGACGGGGAGTTATGTAACAACAACGGGAGAAATGTGCTGCACATGGGCCTGAAAGCAGAACGAGAGAAAGAGAGAGGACGCATATACATGTAAAGACTAGCAGCACATTCAGTAACCATAGAGAGAGAAGCACCATGGGAACAGGCACACACACATGTGGAAAAAAACCTTTCAAACACACACATGTACAGTGACGCCATGATTGATGCTAATGAGAAGCTGGACCAAATAGGCCATACAGAGCTTTAAAAAATTCATAACATGCCGCAGGGAGCAACATGATTATGGATTCCAATTTGCTGTTACCCTAAATAACCTTCACATCCCTTAATCAATGAGAGAGAGAGAGATTTGCCATGCCTCTGTTTCTGTCTCTTTCATGTCGCTGTAAGGTTGCAGAGACTATCGTGATCCCTATATAATAATGATATTCTACAACATGAAATTATGAGGGGACAGCAGAAAGTGTGAGCATTTCTGAGTGGAAAACCTGGTGTCAAGGCTATCCTGAAGCGTCAGTGCTAATAACGTGTTGCTAATCTTGCTACTTCAACTTGTACACTTGAAATAAATGTGCATCTTTTTGTGGAAAAACGTACATTTACTTTCTTTCCGAGAGTTTAATGAGAAGATTGATACCATTCGTGTCACAGTACGTTCGATACGGAGCTGGAGCCAGGAGCTAATTAGCCTAGCTTAGCCTAGCATAAAATAGCTAGCATGGCTCTGTCCACCAATACATCTCTTGCCAAATAGCACAATGCAGCACAATAATATAATCACTTTTGTTTAATCCATACACAAACAATAGTGTAAAAGTGACATTAGCATTATAGCCAAGAGTGCTAGCAAGATTTATTAACAGTTGTTTATCAAGAAATAGTTATAACATGTAACTCAACAACCGCAAATTGTCAATTCTTCATACTTGCTTTTGTACGTCTTAAAAAAATAAGATACAACTGTGAGTTTTACCTGTGTGTAGACAGAAAGAAATGCAAATGGCGCATCATTTGTTCGAAGTAGGCTACTGTTCAGATGTTAGCTTTGAGCTAGCAACCAACTCACCTGTCTCATTTCCTTTGTTGCCTAATCTCTCCACAATTCTCAGGATACATTGGATTTTTATCTTAAATTGAAATGCCTTGCTCCATTTGAACACAATTTGAGGTGTTGGCAGGCAGATTTTTTTATTTCAGGCACAGCATGGCTATCTGTTTTCCCAAATCCAGTCTTTAAACTAAGCTAAGCTAAGCTAAGCTAAGCTAAACATACTTTGAGTTTTAAACACTCAAGAGGTATCAATCTCCACCCCCCCCCCCCAACTCAGTGAATATGAGTCAACAAAACAAAAACCTAAACACCAGCTGGTTCTCACAACTCAAAGTATCAAACTTTACCACCAGAAAAAAAACATGTTTTACTTTTGACTAATGGCAGAAGCACTAAGCACTAATGGTGGAGCCAGAACATAAAAACAGCACCATATCTAAAGTGTTTACAGCATAAAATACTGGCAAAGAAAACATAAAATAGGAAACTCAAGGACCACTACACTGCATTCATGGGAGAAATATTCATCAGTGTTGCCAGGCTACAGTGCATTAAGAGGAACTGCTTTGTGAACACACTGGCTCATTCACTCATGTATTTCCTTCAGAAAAATTCGACATTATTAACATTTTAAGTATTTGAAAGAATAGCAAATAATATGTATCAGAAAGATAATATAAATATTTTTAAATAATACCCATTACACAATGTAACAATTTAAAAACCTATATCAATTATAATACTATATCAGGAGTGTTCATGGTGCATAGATAGGGAATAATAAACACATATTCTGATTACAACATAATATATAATTATATAAGGTTTTTAAGATAAGGATGTTTTTATTTTTTTTTATTGAAAAGTTAATTAAAATAAATAAATAATATATATAATTAAATGGATTCCAATATAATTAAAAATATATTTTAAAAGGTTCGTTAATTTATACATTTAAATGTGAATGAGAATGACTGACATATACAAAATACAATTAGTTGCTATCTTTAAGATGATCAGATGATCAGATGATCATTGGCTGTAGTTTGAACCACTTCCACGATACAGTGCAGTATAGTTTTGTATTGTTTTGTGTTGCAGTCGTACTGGGAGTGGTACTGATGGTACTGAGAGTGGTACTGGGAGTGGTACTGATGGTACTGAGAGTGGTACTGGGAGTGGCACTATTCGGGATTGCGATCTCTCTGTCTGTACACACAAACTGAAAGATTGACAATAAAGTTGACTTTGACTACTGGGAGTGGTACTGATGGTACTGAGAGTGGTACTGAGGATGGTACTGAGAGTGGTACTGGGAGTGATACTGAGGATGGTACTGAGAGTGGTACTGGGAGTGATACTGAGAGTGGTACTGAGAGTGGTACTGAGGATGGTACTGAGAGTGGTACTGGGAGTGATACTGAGTGTGGTACTGATGGTACTGAGTATGGTACTGATGGGAGTGGTACTGATGGTACTGAGAGTGGTACTGATGGTACTGAGAGTGGTACTGAGAGTGGTACTGATGGTACTGAGAGTGGTACTGATGGTACTGGGAGTGGTACTGGGAGTGGTACTGATGGTACTGGGAGTGGTACTGGGAGTGGTACTGATGGTACTGAGAGTGGTACTGGGAGTGGTACTGGGAGTGGTACTGATGGTACTGAGAGTGGTACTGGTGGTACTGATGGTACTGGGAGTGGTACTGGGAGTGGTACTGATGGTACTGAGAGTGGTACTGGTGGTACTGAGAGTGGTACTGGTGGTACTGATGGTACTGGGAGTGGTACTGAGAGTGGTACTGGTGGTACTGAGAGTGGTACTGATGGTACTGAGAGTGGTACTGGTGGTACTGATGGTACTGGGAGTGGTACTGTGAGTGGTACTGATGGTACTGGTAGTGATACTGGGAGTGGTACTGAGAGTGGTACTGGTGGTACTGGGAGTGGTACTGTGAGTGGTACTGATGGTACTGGGAGTGGTACTGATGGTACTGAGAGTGGTACTGGTGGTACTGGGAGAGGTACTGTGGTACTGTGAGTGGTACCTGATCTGCTGGTTGGCCTCGCTGCGGATCTTCAGCACCTCCTTCCCTTTGAGCTCCAGCTCTTTGGTCAGGGTGCTGATGTTCTCGTTCAGGGTGTGGATCTGGTGGTCCAGCTGGGCAACGTGACTCTTCCTCCGGGACACTTCCTCCTGCAGCTCCGTGATCCGGCCCAGCAGCTCTCGCTCCTACCAAGAGAAGAAAAATAATGTTCATACTTTATTACCCCACGGTGCTAATTGATCACACTTTTTTATTAAATACTTCTTGACAGAGGTGGGAAGTAGTGGAGTACAAATACTTCGTTACTGTACTTAAGTACATTTTTCTGGTATCAGTACTTTACAACTTATTTTTCTGATGACTTTTAACTTCTTACATTTTGAACACAAATACCTGTACTTTCTACTTCTTACATTTTGAACCCAAATTCCTGTACTTTCTACTTCTTACATGTTGAACACAAATACCTGTACTTTCTACTTCTTACATGTTGAACACAAATACCTGTACTTTCTACTTCTTACATGTTGAACACAAATACCTGTACTTTCTACTTCTTACATGTTGAACACAAATACCTGTACTTTCTACTTCTTACATGTTGAACACAAATACCTGTACTTTCTACTTCTTACATGTTGAACACAATACCTTACCTGTACTTTCTACTTCTTACCTTTTGAACCCAAATACCTGTACTTTCTACTTCTTACATGTTGAACACAAATACCTGTACTTTCTACTTCTCTCATTTCCAAACAGGCTGGTTCCTTTAGTTTGAATGTGTGCTTGGTGGCGTGATCATTATTATTTAGAGTCATTGCGTGCCTATTGATTTGAACACGATCCGTGTATCCATCATTTCCTGGTCTTCTCTAAAGAAGAGGGACCAATGCAAACGTTGTCATGTTGCCGTTGTTCAGCGTGGAAACATTCATTAGCTAACAATGACATTATTGTTCTATTAATATAAAAGGGAGGTCAGGTACTCTTTAAAACAGCTGCTAGTTATGGGTACTTTTTACTGAAGTACATTTCAAAGCCCATACTTGAGTAAAGGATGTGTGTACTTTTGCCATCTCTGCTTCTTGACTACTTTAATTTCAGGGAGAATTAACTTTTTGTCATTTTTCCGCATAGCAAATGTTCACCTACTTTTATTATGGTATTCTTTTTTACCACGGTTTTGTACCAACTTGATTTTATCACACGTTAGTTTGCCTCTTCTATTTAATAAGTTAGCTTTCTTATTTTATAAATGCTTTCAATTGCACTGTCCTTCTTGTGGTTTTAACTCCTGATTTAAGTTGAGACCACAGTCATGTCACCTTTACACAAACTGAGAGGCACTATATATCTAAAAGTAGACACTATGGTGACAAAAATCTGCATCACATAACAGATTCATACTGTCAGCATTCAGTTTCTGTTTATAAGTGGCCTGTGATATAAACTGAAACTGTTCTCCGATGAGATATATAATCTCAGGCTGTTAAATGGTGGTAATTAATAAATGAACTGACAGTGAATCATTAACATTCACTGTCCCACAATGCATTGTAACAATAACTGTAGCCACTATGCTGTTCTCATAAATGCACAGCATGGTTGTGTATAACAATATGGATTGCACTTGACTTTAGTACTGAAGGGCCACTTTACAAAAGAGTCTCTTAGACCTTTGATTTGTAAAAGGGATAAGTGACAATTCTGCTGGTTATTATGTGTAAAGAGGGAGCGTTAGAGTATATCAAAATGAATCTAGTAAAGCTTCAACATATCAGAATTAGAATCAGAAACAGGTTTATTACAAGGTAGGTTTAAACGTACGAGGAATTTGACTTGATCACTCATAATGTTTTTTAAAGTTCTCCACGTCTCTGAATGACGTCCATGCCAACCAGCGATCTAAATGACTCACGCCCCCCCCGCAGAGCGTCTCAGTTTCTCATGACTCGAGACTCGGGGGTATACAAGTCGTGATTTCAAAGTGAGAAATGAGTGATTGTCTCAGCGGGGAGGCAGAGAACAAGGCGTAGGTTCAATCCAACTCTGAAGACGCAAACTGACTTTTACAACGAGTCCAGTTTTACAAGAAAGCATAAAATCATGTTTTTTAAAGCTTTAACAAAAATCCTAAAATGTCGGTACTGGCTGATTAGGAAATATGTTTTGAACAAAGTACTTGACTGGACAAAATGAATTCAAAGTAGTAATAAATAATATGTTTTTCCTGATAAATGTCTAAGCACTAAATGTTTACGAAAGGACTTTTTGATCCTATGCACTTGTAAATAAAAGTGGTTACGGTATACAAGGTTTTTGTCAACATAAGTTAAATTAAATCACTTTACACATTACATTGCTTTTCGCTGACGCTTTTATCCAAAGCGACTTACAATAAGTGCATTCGACCAAGAAGATACAAACTTGAAGAAAACAGAATCATATAAGTACATCAGGTTTCATAGAGCGAAACATTTCAAGTGCTACTCAAATGGCTTTAGATAAGCCAGTCCTTTGTTAGTATATAAGTGCTTTGTTAGTTGTATTGCTCGAAGTGGAGTCGAAAGAGATGAGTTTTCAGTCTGCGCCGGAAGATGTGTAAGCTTTCTGCTGTCCTGATGTCAATGGGGAGCTCATTCCACCATGTTGGAGCCAGGATAGCAAACCCACGTGTTTTTTCTGATGGGAACTTGGGTCCCCCTCGCAGTGAGGGTGCAGCGAGCCGTTTGGCCGATGCAGAGCGGAGTGCACGTGCTGGGGTGTATGGTTTAACCATGTCCTGGATGTAGGAAGGGCCAGATCCATTCACAGCATGGTACGCAAGTACCAGTGTCTTGAAGTGGATTCTAGCAGTTACTGGAAGCCAGTGAAGGGAGCGGAGGAGCGTTGTGGTGTGGGAACATTTAGGAAGGTTGAAGACCAGACGAGCTGAGGCATTCTGAGCTGCAGAGGTCGGATGGCACATTGTTGGAGAAATACTGTTTTCTCCACTCTTTGGGTTGTTTTAATGCACTGATATCATGTGTGGCTCTGAGACGTTGCAGCTGCCTCTTTATGATAACAGAAGGCAGAGCATTTTAGGTTGTTGATATAATCTGAGCAGACAGGCACGTACTTGTTGTCTCCTATATTATCTCACATTGCTGGGAGTCCAGAAGTCGCAGATGACCCATCCAGATGACCCAACTTTCCGACACCCGCGGCTGACATTCCGGCACCCGCGGCCACCTCGTTTTACGGCTTTACTCTCCGTGTTTTGGACTATACACAGTAAGCCTGATGTTTTTTGCTGCTCCTTTGAGCAACATACCTCATGTGTGTGAGTTAACCCATATCCTTTGTATGTGATTTAACTCTGCTCCTTCTTGCAAGAATAAACTAGAACCTGATCATTGATTCTCAACCTGGTGTCGAGTGATATTTTCCTAACACACATGCAGGTAGACCAGCCAGGAGGGAGTTGCAGTAGTCTAGGCGATTTTATCATCTGTATCTACAAACCATCAACATGCAACACTGCCAACTTAAATCCACATTATAATAATAAAAAAAGTGGACATTGTTTGTCAGAATGATCATTATGATTAGAGACTTTAACGGAGAGGAAAAGTTGTTTATATATTCTCTTAACTCCATCAGAGTCAGATTAAATATTGTCAAACTATAGTCTGATAATGATTCCCCACTCTGCATAAATCTCCCTCCATTTAGTGATTGCAAAGACAGTGTTCAAACAGCCAAAAGCCATAATGGTGTTTAATAACTTTGTGGTCACTATCTGTCTCTATCTGAGCGTCCCTCAACATTTTAATTGAATGTGATTGGCTGATTTCTGCTGTCCATAAAACTAGCGGCTCAATTAAACACAATGGGGATGGGGCAGATTAATCCTTAATGACTCATTTACTAATTTCACTCGCCATCTCATCACACTGCTGGCTCCATTCAGAGTAGAGAGGACGCACAAAGGCAACACAATAATAATAAGAAAAACCCGAAAGCACACAGGAAGAGGAGGAGGAAGATGACAGCAAAAGAAAGGAGGAAAGAAAAATAAATGCTGGAGAGAATGTATTGAATCTGGACTATTTCCAAGGTCCAATTTAAAGCAAATATTGTCTGTTTGATGTTCACAGCAGGGAGATATAACTGCAGTTTTTTGGGCAAAGAGTCTTTTTTTAAAGGGTCCCTCCCTATTATGCTCATTTCCCGGTTCATATTTATATTTTGTGCCTCTACTCTACTTTAAAGTGGACCTATCATGCTATATTTGAATAATATAGTGTAGGACCATACCTATATAAGGCATATTTATACTTTTTTTCTTTTTCAAAATACCAAACAGATCATGCATTTTAGCCATGCCTCATTTTGCTCAATTTGACATTTTTTATCCCTGTTTTAGCAAGGGCTGATTCAGTGAGAACAGCACCACCTACTGGCCTGGCATATGTACTACAGCGTCTCCAGCGCTTTCGAACGGCAATGGCCGTGGCTGTCTCCTCCTGATTGGTGGAGTTGGCCCAATAGCCGTAGCGCCACCGTCCTGACGTCAGGACAGTGTTCAAATCTGGATCAGTTTTTATCAGATCCGTTGCAGCCCCTTTTTTAGAGATTTGGGTATGGAGGAAAATAGAGAGGGTTGTGTTTTCTGGCACTTGGTGAGTTCCCTGGAACACCGGGGACACATATTCATGTATACAAGACGTACAAAAGTGCATTTTGCATGATAGGTCCCCTTTAACTTTTGCAGACCATGTACATGCACAGAAACCTTTATCACACACTACAGGAAAAGGGAAAGCCACAAAATGCATAATATATTTTTTCACATCTTGCCATTAAAGGTAGGGTAGGTAAGAATGGAGAAACTAGCTCGAGTGCGCTAGAATTGGAAAGTACACAACCGAAAATAATCTGCCCCTTCCTTCAGACTTCCTTACAGAGCCCCTCCTCCAACACACACGAACGCACACATGACCAATGAGGGCACGAGATAAGTTTGTGCACAGATGGAAGGCTGACAGGCAGGTAGGCCATCCAGTTATTTTAGCCGGGCCGGCTCAGATGATTGGTCGTGCTTTTCACAGCGCCACGGCTTCCACAGATGAACATTTTGTTATGGATTTATTGTCAAAGCATTTAATGTATTCATTGCTATCAGGGATGTTAAGAGCATTCCATGGAATATAACAAAAAGTGTTTCTGAAGTGAATTACCTACCCTACCTTTAATAATGCATATCTTTGATCAAATGTGAAAATCTAAAAAAACACTTCAAAGGGTGTATCATAAGCCATACATTTATATATTTTTGTGAATAAACAGGTATGTATTATTTCTTGGACTAGGGAGAGCATAATAAGCATTTTTATTCTGACTGTAACACTAGCCCTTTAGAGAAATATGTTTTTAGAGGTTTTAAAGTTACTTGACATCATTAGCCATTATCAGTCGGCCATAAATAGACATTTAGCTTTTAAAATCCTTATAAATCACAATAAAAACTGCAGATGAAATAGAAAGGACAGGGGATTAATGATTAGATGAGCTGAAATGACAGCACTTTTAAGATATGTGACATATTTTGATAAAAAAAAGGTTATTTAAGTTCAGAGACGAATAAGCACTTTGTCAAAAACACTCAAATCTACATCCTAAATAGAACAATGTAATGGAAATAGAACAGAGTAAATAAGTGATGTGCAGAGACGCTGATGATGTGCTAATTGATCAGACAGCTCTGTCAAAAACAACCACACACGGCACGCACGCCATCAGTCCCTTCCTCCCCGTCTGTTAAGTAATTGGGAATATAAAAACATTATTTATCGCAGCGTGAAGACTGTCTGCAGCTGAGCTCTAATGACTCGAAGCAGGAGGTTTCAGTTTACGTGCCATCAGGACTCTGGCTTGGTAAATATCTCTGAGTTTAAAAGTTGTGCTTGTTGTTTTACTAGATAAGGAAAATAACTTGTTGGGTTAACGTGTGTGTTGTGAAATCTGCTGGATTATTTTGAAGCAAAGCAGGAGAGATAATGGCAGATGGTTAAATAAAGGAAGTATACTGTAAAGCCACTGTTAAATCACAATGGCCAAACAGTGAAATGTGCCTAAAACACATAATATAACTTCAATGTCCCGAATACTAATCCTTTGCTGCATGTCTTTTGAATGTCTCTCAATCTTTGTCCTCATATTTTGCATCTCTGCTGATTCTCTGCTGTAAAAATGACAAAAAACACATCTCACAAAAACAAGAAAAGGTGTTTAAAGTAACTTTGCTTAAGCTGATTTGTGCAGATGGTTGATAGTATTTAGTTTAGTCAGCCTACTGCATCTTCTCTTAAAGGTGCCCTATTATGCTTTTTGGGGTTGTCCCTTTCCTTATAGTGTGTTATATAGGTTTGTGTGCATGTAAATGGTCGGCAAAGGCTAAAATCACTGTGTTCCCTGTGAGACACACACTCCGCCCCTGCCTGAAAACGCCTCCATTCGACTAAAATGAGCATATAACGGGCCCTTTAAGTAATTCTAGTACATAAAGAGGGAATAGATGCATTATTTAAATGACAAATAGACTACTTAGATCTATTTAGGGGACAAATCAACCTTGTGTGCTGCAGTAGAGACTCAAATATGAGACATTTTGCTGCAGGAATCGATTGAAATATGAACAATTTCCCCTATTTTCGCTGCAGCGTTATGACTGACAGACTGAAACACTGGAGTGTTAGCCTTTTATCGGCACCCTATCGCCGTGGCAACAGTAGATGAGAGGGTCTGATGGCGGACAGTGGGAGAGAGGAGACCTCCAGCTGTGCAGCTCTGAGAGAACATCTGTACGACGAGGAGCAGAGAGGAACTCACCGTGTTCAGGGCAATTAGTGAGATTTACAAGAGACGCTGAGAGGGTCGCCTGCTGAGTGTGTGTGGTGTGTGTGTGTGTGTGTGTGTGTGTGTGTGTGTGTGTGTGTGTGTGTGTGTGTGTGTGTGTGTGTGTGTGTGTGTGTGTGTGTGTGTGAACTTGTTGCAGCTGGTATTTGAGGCACTATGGCTATTTAGTTTCTGTGTGAAAATCGGCAGAGATTTCAATGAAAGACTAATTATAAAAACTCAATAAAATATAATATCTGAAACCGTTTTCTAGTGATTTTGATCTCTATAAATATTTTTTAGGTATATATAATAATTGTTTTGTCATTAAAATGTGTGCAAGATGTTATATTTAAGCAGCTTGTTTTGTCTGAGAGTATAAAGTAGAAAAATATATAAAAATAAATACATTTTGAGTTGAACAACAATCTATTATTGACTCATCGCCCCAGTATCACCTCTGGTTAAAAACACATTTTCTAACAAATGATTTTCATACTTTTTGTTGTTAGCATTTTTTAAAGCAAAAATAACTTTATATATGTGTGTAATCTCCTCTGTATAGTAGTTTTATAGTGGTAGAGTATGCCACTATTTGATTGGATTCAAGCTGCCTTCATACAGGACCAATGCAGCATGTAATCCAGTTTGATTTAATCTCATTGCTATCAGCCTCACTGTTTACTGCTACTTCACAATACAAGCATTCAACTGGTGAAACACTGGGTGGCTTTTATTGTGAAGCAGTCACAGGAAACACAATTAGTGATTACAATGCTTAAATCAACAAGCAGTGAAATCTTATGTACTATAACTTAAAGTTTTTTAATACCAATAAACTGTATTCAGTTTGACTTCAAACAGCTTTCTGCAGTTGTTATCAGCGAGTCCATCATCCACCAAGTGGGTATTTCACTTCCTGTGTTTCTCACCAGAGTAGTTTCCTTGGAGACAGTGGGTGATATAGTAAAAATAGTAAATGTGTGAAACAGAGGTGTGGATTTCTTTCAATATCACAATCTTATATTTAATTAGAACATTTTTTGTGACAGTAGCTTTGTTTCCAAGCAGCTGTCAAAACTGGTTTGGGAGTCCACAGATGATCAACTCTAAAGACTTAGGTTTTTAGGTTTGCAGCTGTATTTTTCAAATGGATATTAACATTAAAGGTCCCCTATCATACTGTTTTTCATCAATATATTACAGGTCTCAGATATATACAGAACCTGTCTCTGATTGGCTGAAACACCAAACAGATCATTGCAGCATCCCATAATCCCCTCTGTTTCAGCCCTGTTTCCAAAGTGCTGATTCTCTGTCTGTTACTTTAGATGAAAATAAGGAGCCCCTCCCCACGCCCCTCTGAGAGATATCTGGTTACAAAGAACTCAATGGTGCTCTAGGAGGAGATTCAGGTGATAAGGTGGGGGGGGGGGGTTACCTTGGTTGGTGATTGGCTAATGGTTACACAAGACAAAACATCGTTATGACATCATAAAGTGGCCAAATTCTGATCAGCTCATTTTCAGACAGGTTTTTATATAAATGGATCAGGACAAAAAGAGAGAGAATCTTTGTTCCTGAAACTTTCAGAATCTCTTTACACAGAGGGGACACATGTTGATGAAGAAGAGACATGAAGAAGAGGGGACACATGTTGATGTAGAAGAGACATGAAGAAGAGGGGACACATGTTGATGTAGAAGAGACATGAGAAGAGGGGACACGTGTTGATGTAGAAGAGACATGAAGAAGAGGGGACACATGTTGATGTAGAAGAGACATGAAGAAGAGGGGACACATGTTGATGTAGAAGAGACATGAAGAAGAGTGGGACACATGTTGATGTAGAAGAGACATGAAGAAGAGGGGACACATGTTGATGTAGAAGAGACATGAAGAAGAGGGGACACATGTTGATGTAGAAGAGACATGAAGAAGAGGGGACACATGCTTGATGTAGAAGAGACATGAAGAAGAGGGGACACATGTTGATGTAGAAGAGACATGAGTAGAGGGGACACATGTTGATGTAGAAGAGACATGAAGAAGAGGGGACACATGTTGATGTAGAAGAGACATGAAGAAGAGGGGACACATGTTGATGTAGAAGAGACATGAAGAAGAGGGGACACATGTTGATGTAGAAGAGACATGGAAGAAGAGGGGACACATGTTGATGTAGAAGAGACATGAACAAGTGGATTTTGCATAATAAGTGACCTTTAAATCCCAATCGATGTATAGATGCCTCCCAGGTAAATGTCCTACCTGTGTCCGGTTGTTCTCCAGAGTTTTCTCCAGCGACAGCTTGGCGACGGCTGCTTCCTGTTGGTGCGTCTGTCTCAGGTGTTCGATGGCCGACGCGTGGATGTGGTTCAGCTCTGACCGCAGAGAGGCTGGAACGAGAGAGAGAGGGACACAGTAAGAGTTAATGATAATTATGACAATGACAATTCCCTTCTTTGGACATACTGTTACTGTATACATACAATGCTGCTCATTATAGTATGACATTTCAATAGTAAAACTGAAATAAAATACAAATAAAGTTCATAACATTTGAATAAAAGGTCCAATAAAAACGCAGAAGTGGTTAAAGTCTTAGTACAAAAAGATTAAATTACAGTCTCAATAAATCAAAAGTCCTCAAGTGTTTTATAATTCTATGGTTTTACTGTTTTCACTTCTTCTATAATCATCTTCATGAGTTATTTTACCGTATTTTGTTTCATTAGCATTGAAGTTGTGATCATTATTTGTTATTTCATGTTTAGTTTTTAAAGTTGTTCTTCTCATCAGTAGCTTGTAGAGATCTGTGAAGTCATTTGAAAGTTGCCTAAAGAATAAAGTCTGTTTGATTGATGACTGAAAATCAATGGTGAAAGAAAAGGGGATCCAGTGTTCGGGAGCTAAAACAGAAGCCTTTGATAACAAGTTGTGAACTAGAGCTGAAGTATCTACTTTCTTTGGTAGCCAGTGAAGAGAGTATGTCAAAAGTCAAACCTGCAAACACTAATAAAGCATGATTCATCTTCCCTGCATCCTGTTTTATCAGAACAACCTTGCTTTAGGAGAAGTTAGTAGGTAAACAAGTCACTTCTAACTACTGATTTGGCCCGAGACAGACCGGTTTAAAGTTCCTTCGGACTGGAATAATTTGCCACGACGCTTCACTTATTTTGAAATGTTCCCAAATGCTCTGTCTCCTTTTTGTTGCTGTTAACTGTACATGCTACAGATGAAATCCCAAGTACAAAACACTAACTTTATATACATATATATATTATTTTTGTATTGCTAGGATAATGTATTTGTTCAGGGCTTTTCTGTGGCCATATAGTAGTTATGTCCGAAATCGTATCTTAAATTGTATTTAAGTATAGTCTGTGGTTGCATTGTGATGTAATGATTTGTTATTGATTTCTTGTTATTGTTTGTGTGGGGGAAACGTCTGAAGCAATTGGAGTCAGGACTCAAGAGGAGAGCTGGAGCTTTGATGGCAAACACTGACGGTTTATTTGGAGCTTCGGCCGGAGAATTCACAAGACATGTCACGGGCCACGGTCTGACCACACGGTTGAGATGCCACAATCAATTCTGAAGACCCCTCCTGTAGCTCCAGGTTTTAACTAGTTCAGAGTGTAATAATTAACATTCTTCAATAGATAGACTAAACAGCTGAGGACACTGAATCACATTTGTTGTCGCTTATGGCTCGGGGTCATCTACACCACGAGAAGGATGTGTTCCAGGTGTCCCACAACAATAACTATCTCTGACCGAGAGTTGCCCGGTCACAAACTGGTAACAACAACAACTTGCTAGGGCAGCCCCTCCTTACGGGAGATAACGGCTGCTTACTCACTGGCCACAAAAAGCGTGACCACATCACCCCAATTCTGGCCTCACTGCACTGGCTTCCAGTTCGGTTCAGAATTGATTTTAAAATCCTTTTATTTGTTTTTAAAGCACTAAATGGGCTGGCTCCGGCCTATATAGCTGAACTCCTCCAGCGCTACACCCCAACAAGAGCTTTAAGGTCTGCTGACCAGCTGCTGCTGGTAGTGCCCAAGACCAGGCTTAAAACCCTAGGGCACCGAGCCTTCGCAGCAGCTGGCCCCAGGCTCTGGAACACTCTGCCCCTCCATGTGAGGTCGGCCCAGACCCTAGGGGTTTTTAAATCTACTCTTAAGACACACTTCTTCTCCCTGGCCTTTTAGTCAGAGCGGAGCACGACTCCTGACTTTAACCCTGTGTTTTCTTTTTAAATATCTGTTGTAATTTATTGTCTTTTATTGTGATTATAGAAATGTGTTTTTATGTGATTGTAGTTATTACATGTACAGCACTTTGGCCCGACCAAAAATCGCTTTTAAATGTGCTTTATAAATGTGCTTTATAAATATTTGATTTGATTTGATTCAAGGTTGGTCAGCTGCGTCACAGGGCGAAGGGTAAACATGTGGGGCGAAATTATTCCCTGACAGTTTGTGCTATATATTTCGCTCCTTTGAAAGATGGTTAATCTCAAGGTTTTATCCCAAATTAATACATTTCAAAACATTTCAAGTTTCTCTCTCTTGAATTAAAGTCAGAGCAAGCAGTATGTCTTTTTGATGTTCTCTAGTTTAAAAAAAGTTCACTCATTCACTGATTCGAGGTCAAACAGGCATCCTTAGACCACGATCAGTTCTCTCAAGAGAAACGTAACTTGTATGTTTTCTACTTATTAATGCTTTTTATTTCTATTTTGAGATGTTTACATTTTAGAATTGTTTATTTCTACTCCTTTAATTTGTACTTATGTGCAATGCCTTTTTTTTTTGCTGCTGCAACGCAAACATTTCCCAATTTGGGATCAATTAAGTACATCTTATGTTATCTTATCTTAAAGGTCACCTATCATGCTATTAATAGGAAATAGCATAGGTCTCAGATATATAAGAATATATAAAAAACATGTCTATGAAGTGTTTTGCTCAAAATACCAAACAGATCACCCATTCTAGCCATGCCTCATATCCCTCTATTTCACTTCCTGTTTCAAAAGTGCTGATTTGGGGTATAAAGCTTTAAAAGATTGATACAAAATAAGAGAGGAGGGGTCTGAGCTCATGTGGGACCCGGCAGCTACTGTCTAAACTAAATACTGCCGTGATGAAACGCCATATCATGGATTATCAAGGATTCTTTCTGAAACAGTATGGAGCTCAAAGGCTTTCTCTCTTGCCGGTTATACCACAAGGTGAGTTCCTTTTTATTTCCTGCTTCTTCACACACATGCTCTCCAGTACAGGTTAGCTCTGAGTGTTAGCGATGCTAATGTAAACACCGACCATATTACGTCCAAAACAGTCGGGCATTGTTTCTGATAGCAACGTTTCTGATAGGGCCGTGGGTCCACATTTCAGATATTACGTCATATCGGACGCAAATCTGGATCAGCTCCGTTGCAGCCCCGTTTTTAGAGATTTGGGTACGGAGGAAAAGAGAGAGGGTTTTATTTTCTGACACTGCGTGAGTTCCCTGACACACCGGGGACACGTATTTATGTATAAAAGACATCAAAAAGTGCATTTTGCATGATAGGTCCCCTTTAAAACGGTGTGTCATCTGCGTAGCAATTCAAATCTGTATTGAACTGATGACATTTGTACAGAACAAACGAGAGCACAAAGCTCGTCTGCACATTTGAGACTCAGTAATTTGAAGGCTTGTTACAAAAAGCCTCCACCGACCTTTAGTGTGCTCGCAAAAAAAAAAAAAGTGTTCATTAAAAGCAACGGCGTTTTTATTGCTAAATAAATAAAGAAAGTCTTTTTTTTTATGGCCGTGGCTGCTTTTACCCAAGTGGCCTTTAATCCTCACTCCAATGAACAACTTTCCTCCCAAACAGTCTAATGGCTTAGAAAAGCATAGAGAGGGGGAACACACATTATTAGCTTTCTACTTGAATGGAAGAAAAAGCTGCAGCTGAGCACACACACGTGGACACACACACACGTGGACACACACACACACACTCAAGGAGAAAATGAAGGGAAGTAAGAGAGGGGGGAGATAAAGTGAGAAGGTAATGAAAGGATGTCAGGATGTGGGAGGTGAGGGATGGATGTGAGCGGCTCTCTGGTGTCAGGACCGTGACATGGAGGTTAATGGAAGAACATTTATCACAGCGCTGGTGGGTCCAAACTGAAAACCAGCGAGATTTGTTAGCACTTTACAGTTCACTGCTGATATACTAACTGTTGTTCATATCCTTTCTTACTTTATATCAAAACACAGGCTGCACACTTTAGAAAGTCCTCTTATTCTTGCATTGAGTTAAGAAAGAAAGCAGGGAACATCCATCCATATTACATCTGTTATTACAGAAGAGGCACAGTGGCTTCGATATAAAACACTTTGTGGTTTTCTCTGAATTTATAAGGTTGGTTTTTTTTAGTTCTTAAAAGGCAGTGAATGCAGACATTTGCAAAATTAATGGTTTTCTAGAAATGTTACAATTGGTGGACCATGAATAATAGAGCATAGTAAAACACAAGGCTTCTCCATTGTCCACAACAGTCCAATCGTATTCATATAGTTTGCATCTGGCATAAACGTCACTTACCAGCATTTGAAATAAACAAAAGTAAATAAAGGAAACATCCGACTCACAACATTCCCTTTGCAGTTTTAAGCCACAGAGGTTTTTTAACTGCTTTAATATGTATGATAAATATAAATTATAAGATCACACAACCATTGAAATGGCAGTAAACCACATTTCACAGTACACTAATTATTGTATCAATAAATATGATGAAACAATATAATACATTGTTTTATGAAACTGGCTGTGCATATTGAATACTTTTATATTCAAGTACATCTTAATGGTAATACTTGGAGTCAGAGCTTGATTGCAGGACTTTTACTTAATTAAAGTACTTGTACATTGTGGTATCACTACTTTTCATAAAGTACATTATTTGAGTACTTCATCATCCACTGTTTATAGATTTGATGTAACCGTGCTCTGGCGTTAGGCTGCCTGTGTTGCAAGTGTTTTGTATTTTTGTGAACATATGAAACAGTTTCTTGAATCAGGACCGTATTCTGGCAGAAACACGTGCACTTAACTGCACATGCTATAGATCAGGGGTGTCAAACTCAAATACACAGTGGGCCAACATTTAAAAATGGGTACTAGTCGAGGGCCGGACTGGTTCAATGTTTATTACAGAACTTATTGAAATGAACTTATTGCACATATTAAACCTGGAACTAACAAAGCTTAAATGATTGCCTATAAAAACAACATTAAACATTAAATAATCAGTTGCATTCATTTCTTATGGCTCTGTCTGCAGCTTTTCCAGAGTCATTTCTTATGATTACATTTCTCCACAGGCCAACAACAGCTTCAAAAAAACTATTTCCCTCAAAGAGAAAACCAAACATGCCCTGTTGTCGTGAGAGAAAAAGTGCAGAAGGAAACTTCCATGTAAACTCAGTGTGCTGCTCTGTGATGCTAGTTCAAGCCAGATACTTGGCATCTCATCTTGGGTGCAAGTTCATCAATGTTTGGGGTCAGGCTCTGAGCTGAGGAGACCCTCAGGATTGAGTGAAGGTGCAATATACCGGAGGGCCAGATCTAATAGTAACTAGAAATTATCCTGCCGGCCGAAAATAAATCCACCAAGGGCCTGATTTGGCCCCCGGGCCTTGAGTTTGACACATGTGCTATATATGAATTCCCAAGTACAAAACACTAACTTTATATATATATGTATGTTTTGTATTGCTACAGTAGGAACATGTATTTATTCGTGGTTTTCTGTGGCTATACAGTGGTTATGTTCCAAAATGTATCTTTCATTTTGTATATATGTATTACTCTTGTCTATGGTTGAATTGTGACGTGATTGTGTTGTTTTTGTGTTCTCGTTACGGTTTGAACTATTTGTTTCGCATCTGGAAGTATCACTTTTATATCACTTTTTACATTTTGAAAGTGGAAAAGCTTTAGCATTTTCTGTTTTAGTATGACTTCGTTTTCTACCGAAACCCCAGATCTGAGCACTGCTAAGACATTTTGTTGAAAGGGAAAATGTGCTAAAGGGTCATGGGAGGGTGAATTTTTCTCACACACACCATCCCTCACACACACACACCCTCCCTCACACACACACACACACACACACACACACTCTCTCTCTCTCTTACCCAGCATGGCTTTGCCCTCGTCCTCCAGTTCAAAGCGCAGTGTCTGCAGCTCCTGCTCTGACTGCTGTTTGAGCGTCTCGATGCTCTGACGGTGAGCGTCTCTCAGAGACTGCAGCTCCGCGTGGTGGTGGTGGCGGAGACGCTCCTCCAAATCCTGAGGGGGGGAGGAGAGGGGGAGGAAAAGAGTGGTGGAGGTGGTGGTGGAGTAAGGGAAACAGGGAAGGAGTAAAGAAAATAGGAGAGGGGAGAGAAAAGGAGTGAGAGGGACATTTGAGGATAACAAGTTACGGACATAGGAGGAGATGATGGAGTGAGAGAAAAGAAATGAAAATGAAAAAGTGAGAGAAAGCAGGGAGAGATAGGGAAGTACATTAGCATTATTTTAAATCCTCTTTAAGGGCAGAAGGAGAAACTGCCCAGTCAACATACAGTGAATTAAACTGCACTGAAACACCAGCACAGTTTCTTCACCTGCTAAGTCAACATGTTTTCAAAAACACAGATTATCCTCCTCCATAGTTGGAAGAGTTGTCTTTAAGAGGTTTGCAGAAAGATTCCTGCAACACAAGCTTGACTGTGAGGGAAACTATTGAAAGTCACTCGGCTGTAGACTTTTAAAGATTCTCTCACCATCAAAATACTCTGTTATATTGACAGTTGTATCCTAGAGTTTGTGAGAAAGTAAAGGTGAGGTCACAATTGCAATGATTTCCAGTTGAGAATTGCCTTGACTGAAACTCTACTTTGATAATACTGATAATAAGTTCTAATAATTTCCTTATCTACAGTGAGTATACAAAAACAGACATATTACAATTTTTGAAAACTGACAGGCACTTTTCTACAACATGTAGTTACAGGGTATATGCAGGAATCCTGAAGTCAAATGTAAAACCTTTTAAGACCTTTTTTAAGACCCTTTCCATACATTTGAAGACCTCATCGCCACTTGGAGTTTTAACCGGTTACATTGGCGACACACTTTACCTCACATTGACTATATACAGTATTGATTGTCCTTCCTCCTTATCTTCCAACCATTTGGACGCAAACTTGCATTTCCCCATAACGATGTTGTTTAACAACCGGCGTAAACGGACCTTCGCGCGCTATCAAGCAGTGAGCGTGCGATGTCCTGTTCAGATGACGTCACATCCAACGGGATGCCATAAATAAACTACACAGAATCACACTACACACCTACGCAATGATTACATTCAGGCAGACTGTAGAATACAACCTCTTTGGACAATTTATATACTTATTGAAAACAAGCTACAGAATGTAATACCTTGGAAAATGCCGTTTAATACTTTTTAATAGCCTTCATTTTCGCTAAATTGATTTATCAACTTTTAATACTTATTAAGACCCCACGGACACCCTGAGTTACCAGGCCATAGCACGGCTAACTTGCAATACTTTTTAGGAAACACATGGACAACTAATGCTTCTTCGAACAAACTCAACAGACGCTTGTAGTGTGAACGGTTGTATTACAGTGAGCTCATCTGTCTGATAGAGTTGGCTGTCAGCTGGCCTGTGAGAATAAAACTGAGACCAATATTACATTTGAACATTTAGAGCCAGAGCCACAAAGCAAGATAAGGTGAAGAAAACTAAAACCGCACAAAAGCCTGAAGAATTGCGGATATATGATCAAATCATTTCTACCGATAATCCTGTTTTATGTCAAAATGTACTGTCATTTATTTATTTATTTGTGTTAGCGTGCTATGTTATCAATGTGGATAGATCCAGTTTCTGTTGTACACATGTGGATACACAAATGATGTACAGTGTCGTGCTACTTTTCTCTCTTCCTCAAGTAAGTCAAACCCTGTGACCCCTTAGACAAAGATATATTAGTAAAGAGGACATATTTAGAAAATGTTCAGGTTGATATTAGTATTTAGTGTCTCTACTGTGACATGTCTCCATGCTTTAATGTTCAAAAAGCTCTTTATTTCCCTCATTCTCCCTGTACCTCTTCCCCCCTCTGTCTGGGTAATACATGCCTTTGAGTTAAGGTCTCATTTTCATTACCACACAAAGCCCTTAAAGCACACCATGACAGACACAAAGCTGCTGTTCACACACTCAGATCAAGCCATTTTCTGTCAGTAAGACATTAAGATGCCATTTTGCAAATTATAACCAGAGCCCATCAACAAGGAAACGTCTTCAAATGATATTCATAGAAGATGGACGGCAACATCTGCGGCATTTTAATTCACTGATATGAAATGCCTTTGGGAAATGATTCATGAGAGGACGACAGCCCTGAATATTCAAATGAATCTCGTTCAGAGTCATCGAACATCAGTCTGTGATTTTAAGCGTTTGACGGGAGCCCGTGCTGTTTTTATGGTAACGCTGAAAACAGACGTGGTACAGATCATTAAAGACAAGATCTTAGTGAGTCAGAGGAAAAAAATGATGTTGGTATAATAAGTAAAATAAGCTTCCCAGAGCAATACAAAGACAACTATCATTCAGCCTCATTTACTCACCAAAGTATACTTATTGTTTACTATTGTTGTATTATGTTTAAATGTGGCCTCATTTTATGTCTAATAAAACTGCTGCAAATCACACAAAAGACACAAAATGACACAGAATGACCACAAAAATACACAAAATGACCACAAAAAGAAACAGAATGAACACAAAAATACAGAATGACGACAAAAGACACAGACTGACCAAAAAATGACACAAAATGACACAAAATGACCACAAAATGACACAAAATGACCACAAAATGACACAAAATGACCACAAAATGACACAAAATGACCACAAAATGACACAGAATGACCACAAAATGACCACAAAATGACACAAAATGACCACAAAATGACACAGAATGACCACAAAATGACACAAAATGACACGGAATGACCAAAAAATGACACAAAATGACACAAAATGACCACAAAATGACACAAAATGACCACAAAATGACACAAAATGACCACAAAATGACCAAAAAATGACACGGAATGACACAGAATGACCACAGAATGACACAGAATGACACAGAATGACCACAGAATGACACAGAATGACCACAGAATGACACAGAATGACACAGAATGACCACAGAATGACACAAAATGACCACAAAATGACACAAAATGACCACAAAATGACCACAAAATGACACAGAATGACCACAAAATGACACAAAATGACCACAAAATGACACGGATTGACCACAAAATAACTGCAAGAGACACAAAATGACACCAAAAAGAGGCATACTAACTCATAAGTCAACGTGTCTTGTAAGAGTGTTTGTGGGGTCTTATAATGCATGTTTCATAACCCGCCCTTGTATTACTTGGACATTTTATACGTTTTGTATATTAAATCGCAGAGGAGGTAAGACAATTCTCCCTCTGAAAGGAGACAGGCAAATTATGTAGTGAGCAAGAGTGGGAGAGATAAGATAAGTGCGACAGAAGATGATAAGGAAAGCAATAAGCCGTCAGACGCTGCGCACACACATTTTGCGAACACACACATTTTGCGAACACACACACTCTGCGTACACACACTCTGCGTACACACACTCTGCGTACACACACTCTGCGTACACACACTCTGCGTACACACACTCTGCGTACACACACTCTGCGTACACACACTCTGCGAACACACACTCTGCGTACACACACTCTGCGAACACACACTCTGCGAACACACACTCTGCGTACACACACTCTGCGTACACACACACACTCTGCGAACACACACTCTGCGAACACACACTCTGCGTACACACACTCTGCGAACACACACTCTGCGAACACACACTCTGCGTACACACACTCTGCGAACACACACTCTGCGAACACACACTCTGCGTACACACACTCTGCGAACACACACTCTGCGTACACACACTCTGCGAACACACACTCTGCGTACACACACTCTGCGAACACACACTCTGCGAACACACACTCTGCGTACACACACTCTGCGAACACACACTCTGCAAACACACACTCTGCGTACACACACTCTGCGAACACACACTCTGCGAACACACACTCTGCGTACACACACACACTCTGCGTACACACACTCTGTGAACACACACTCTGCGTACACACACTCTGAGAACACACACACACTCTGCGTACACACACTCTGCGTACACACACACACTCTGCGTACACACACTCTGCGTACACACACTCTGAGAACACACACTCTGCGAACACACACTCTGCGTACACACACTCTGCGTACACACACTCTGCGTACACACACACACTCTGCGAACACACACTCTGCGTACACACATTTTGCGAACACACACTCTGCGTACACACACTCTGCGTACACACACTCTGCGTACACACACACACTCTGCGAACACACACTCTGCGAACACACACTCTGCGTACACACACTCTGCGTACACACACTCTGAGAACACACACTCTGCGAACACACACTCTGCGTACACACACTCTGCGTACACACACTCTGCGAACACACACTCTGCGAACACACACTCTGCGTACACACACTCTATGAACACACACTCTGCAAACACACACTCTGCGTACACACACTCTGCGAACACACACTCTGCGAACACACACTCTGCGTACACACACTCTGCGTACACACACACACTCTGAGAACACACACTCTGCGAATACACACTCTGCGAACACACACTCTGCGAACACACACTCTGCGTACACACACACACTCTGCGTACACACACACACTCTGAGAACACACACTCTGAGAACACACACTCTGCATACACACACTCTGCGAACACACACTCTGCGTACACACACACACTCTGCGTACACACACACTCTGAGAACACACACTCTGCGTACACACACTGTGAACACACACTCTGCGTACACACACACACTCTGCGTACACACACACACTCTGCGTACACACACACACTCTGCTGCTATTTGTAGCTTTTTGGAGGCGAGAAGTTCGGGAGATAAATGAGGTTATGCTCGTGTGTTTGTGTCGCGAGGATTTGCCACAACTTTATTACTCCCAGGATGTAACAGTCTGCAAACAGATAATGCCAGACAAACTGAATGAGAACACACACACACACACACACACACACACACACACACACACACACACACACACACACACACACACACACACACACACACACACACACACACACACACACACACACACACACACACACTACACACACACACACACACACACACACACACACACACACACACACACACACACACACACACACACACACACACACACACACACACACACACACACACACACACACACACACACACACACACACACACACACACACACACACACACACACACACACACACACACACACACACACACACACACACACACACACACACACACACACACACACACACACACACACACACACACACACACACAAAGAGAGTGTGCACCAGAAGACCAATCACAACAGAGCCGGTCAGCTAACCAATCAGAGCAGACTGGGCTCTGGTTTCAGACGGAGGGTGAAAAGAGGTGCTGCAGCACAGGCAGTATGAGAAGAGCTTTTTGAACATTAAAGCATGGAGACATCAGAGTAGAGACACAAACTACTTAAATGAACCTGACAATTAGCAGAATGCATGGGCGTCGCAGCCATTATATGAGGGTGGGACAAGTCCCCCCCCACCTTTTAAAATGATTAGTTTAGACCCCCCCACTTTTACTATGTGGAAAGTCCGTGAATCGGTCAATCCACTCGCCTCTCTCTGTAGAGCGCTGTGTCAGTGCTTCATTATCAAATCCATTCCACTTGCTTATTGTGAGAACGCCCAAATCAATGAAACTCCGTCCCATGTTTTCACTGCTACTTTGTACCGAGGCAGATTCTCAGAGCCGTACACATGAGCCGTGCACATGAGCCGTACACATGAGCCGTACACATGAGCCGTACACATGAGCCGTACACATGAGCCGTACACATGAGCCGTACACATGAGCCGTACACATGCTGCGTACACATGAGCCGTACACATGCTGCGTACACATGAGCCGTACACATGAGCCGTACACATGAGCCGTACACATGAGCCGTACACATGCTGCGTACACATGAGCCGTACACATGAGGGGTACACATGCTGCGTACACATGAGCCGTACACATGCTGCGTACACATGAGCCGTACACATGCTGCGTACACATGAGCCGTACACATGAGCCGTACACATGAGCCGTACACATGCTGCGTACACATGCTGCGTACACATGAGCCGTACACATGCTGCGTACACATGCTGCGTACACATGAGCCGTACACATGCTGCGTACACATGAGCCGTACACATGAGCCGTACACATGCTGCGTACACATGAGCCGTACACATGAGCCGTACACATGAGCCGTACACATGAGCCGTACACATGAGCCGTACACATGCTGCGTACACATGAGCCGTACACATGAGCCGTACACATGAGCCGTACACATGCTGCGTACACATGCTGCGTACACATGAGCCGTACACATGCTGCGTACACATGAGCCGTACACATGAGCCGTACACATGAGCCGTACACATGCTGCGTACACATGCTGCGTACACATGAGCCGTACACATGCTGCGTACACATGCTGCGTACACACGAGCCGTACACATGCTGCGTACACATGAGCCGTACACATGCTGCGTACACATGAGCCGTACACATGCTGCGTACACATGAGCCGTACACATGCTGCGTACACATGAGCCGTACACATGCTGCGTTTTTTGTGTAGCTGTGTCTTTAGTTGTAAAATGATGCGCGCCACAGTTTCCACGCTGCGAGGCTCCGGCGCTAACAGTTCACGAGCGCGCTCCACTAGCACCCGGATATAAGGCGCTGTTATTAGCGAGGTGGAGGGAGAGTCCTCTGTCAGACTGAGAGGCTGATAACTACAGCTCAGTGAGGTAAAGGACTCTCTGAGGGTTTAGATAGTTCACTTTAGTCTAAGTAGTGGGTCTCAAATGGTTTGGTAATCATTTATGTAAATAAGTATTTCCAAGACACACCTTTATATGATCATTATAGTTATAAAAAACAAGAGAATAACATGTATGAAATCATTCCAACTCATACTATAGGACAGTAACACAAAAATACACTTAAGTAAATGTACTTAGCTAATAGCTGTGTGTTGGTATCAGAGAGGAAACAAGTAGAGTAGGAGAGACACATAACAGGGAGGTGAATGTTTGCTAGAGCAGTCACTTTGGTTTACAGGAAAATAAATAATGAAGACTTCTGAGTTTTTAAGAACGGTGTGACTCAGAGGTGATGTTCCTTCTCCCCACTCAAACACACACTTGCCCTTATTCATACCGCCATCATGAGGACGCCGTTCCCTGACCTCCATTCAGCCTCGAGCATTAACACAATTACAGCGTCCACGGCGTCGGAGAGGGGATTTGGGGATTGTGATGTATAGCTCATCCAAATCGACCTTGACTGTGATATGGTCGGATTAGCGGTGAGGAACATTTCCTTTGGCACCTCGAGGCGTGTGTATGTTGCTTTGTGCGTGCATATTTTGACATTATAAAAGGGGGAAAACGTGGAGCTGTCAGAAGAGCGTCTTGATGTGGAAACCGTCTGCTGTCAGAGAGAGTGAGGGATGATGAATCACTGCCACGCTAACCTTGACTCTGACAAGCCTCTGCTGGATGGAAATGTCATGGATGGAGCTTCTCAAACTGATTACATAACGGCTGCAGATCATAGTCTAAGGGTTCTTTTAAATGCATATATTAATTGGATTTAATTATTTAATTACTCATACTTTGTTCGCTAACTTAATTTGGTTAGAAAAGTGTCAAAAGAACTATAATTTCACGCTGCAACTCTTACTACTTTTAAATCCAGGCTGAAGACTTTTCTTTTTGCCGCTGCTTTTAATTTAACTATTCACATCTCACACTGCACTGTAACTTGTATTCATGTACCTGTGTTATTCAAGTTTTATTATCTTTGCTTTTTAAAGTTTCTAATGTGTTTTATGCTCTTAATGTCTTTCAATTTTGTACAGCACTTTGAATTGCCTTGTGTTGACAAGTGCTATAGTAATTTAAAGTGCACCTATCATGCTATTTTTAGGCAATAGCATAGGTCTCAGATATATACAAATATATAAAAAGACATGTCTATGAAGTGTTTTGCTCAAAATACCAAACAGAGCACCCATTCTAGCCATGCCTCATATCCCTCTATTTCACTTCCTGTTTCAAAAGTGCTGATTTGGGGTATAAAGCTTTAAAAAAAAAAAATTGAAAAAAAAAAGGAGGGGTCTGAGCTCATGGGGGACCCGGCAGCTACTGTCTAAACTAAATGCTGCCGTGATGAAACGCCATATCATGGATTACCAAGGATTGTTTCTGAAACAGTATGGAGCTCAAAGGCTTTCTCTCTTGCCGGTTATACCACAAGGTGAGTTCCTTTTTATTTCCTGCTTCTTCACACACATGCTCTCCAGTACAGGTTAGCTCTGAGTGTTAGCGATGCTAATGTAAACACCGACCATATTACGTCCAAAACAGTCGGGCATTGTTTCTGATAGCAACGTTTCTGATAGGGCCGTGGGTCCACATTTCAGATATTACGTCATATCGGACGCAAATCTGGATCAGCTCCGTTGTTCCCCCGTTTTTAGAGATTTGGGTACGGAGGAAAAGAGAGAGGGTTTTATTTTCTGACGCTGCGTGAGTTCCCTGACACACCGGGGACACATGTTTATGTATAAAAGACATCAAAAAGTTAATTTAGCATGATAGGTCCCCTTTAAACTTGCCTTGCCTAACTTTGATGGTGCCAGTAAAGGCCTCCAGCGCTTCCATCATAATGAGAATTGAGTGTGCTGAAATGCAGGTTTTCTGGTTTTGCTTTACTGCAGTGGTCTCACATTTCCTCAGCCATTATTCTAGATCACTTTGCATGATAAATGTTCCCATTGTTGTACATCAGATCTCTGTCCATGGTGCTCATTTATCCCTGTATGCATGCAGTCGCTCTCCATGGTGCTGAGGTCCCTTCTTAGTGTAGTTTTGCAGCACAATGTCCCAGCACTCTGATTGCCTGCAGTATTTCTCTCAGGCTGTATCACCTGTGTAGTGACTTCTGATTGCATTGTTACTAAATGCTGCCAAAAATATCCTGCTTGACCTTTTGACAAAAGCTACTTAAACATGTGAGGCTGATATATCGATCGATATGATCTTAATCCAGCTTCTCATTGAAGGAAAGATATGTTTAAGGTCATTTTTTCTCCTTCTCAGTCCATATATGGGGCGAAATATTTGTATTAAACAAATTTAAGGGATGCATGTCATAGAAAATATCTCATATTGGCAACATTTTTGGCTATTTCCAGATCTTTTTAGTTACAAATATCCCTAAAAGTATTGTATATATGGAACTATCAAATTATATATCGAAGTATATTATCTTTTTGCAGATGCTTATAGCAAGAAAGATATGTTTGAGGTATTTTTTTCTCCTTCTCAGTCCATATATGGGGTGAAATATTTGTATTAAACAAATTTAAGCCATGCTCGGTAATATGTAACTTAAATATGTGATTAGTTTGAGGTCATTTCTTCCACACAGCACATTTCATAGGGTCAAAATCTTTATCAAAACATTTAAAGGATGCTAAAAAAATCCAGTTTCAACTCAGCTCTATGTTTGACCACTAGTAGAGCTATGTTTGTGTTTCTGGTTTACTAACTTGCACGAGGGTAAACAAGTGCATTCACAAGCATGAAATACACATTCATGCAAAGTGTCTTAAATGATTCCAAATATAGACGGAGTAACATCCTCAATAAAGCAGCAATGTGCCAGTTAAAGAAGAATGCTAGCCAGCAAACATGAATTTGTCCTTGCACGGTATTTGGTATTATTTCAAATCTTAGGATAGTACTGTTTATAAACACGTGTTTGAGTGCATGTCTGGCTCCGCCCACCTTCAGGTCCCTCTTGCGGGCGTGCTCCATGTCCTGCATGGAGCTGAGGTGCAGCTCCTGCAGGCGCTGCTGCCTCCTCTGGTGCTCCGTCTGCAGCTCGTCCAGCTGCAGCCTCAGGTGCTCTCTCTCCTGACTGAACTGCTGCTGCAGCTGCTGCAGAGACGACTGCGACTGAGACAGCTGCATCTCCAGACTCTGCTTCAGCAGGGAGATCTGCACAGGGACACAACGTCATACATGTTTGTTAGAAAAATATCACTGGTCACCGGCTTGAGCTTCAATATCAGGATCCATGTATTTGTGATCCTCTCCAGAATGGAAGTAGTCATCACATACAGAGCATCAACTAGTTCCTGAACAGTGTCCTTCACATGCTGATATACAAGAGAGGGAGTTACACAGTCACAAGATGGAGGAATACCGGTTCTTGTAGGTAATCATACATCCTGTCATGTACAATACTGAGTTTTTTCTCAAAATGTTGGTTTTTTTCTCAAAATCTGAATTTTTCTTAAAAATTCTGACTTTTTCCTAAAAATTCTGACTTTTTCCTAAAAAATCTGAATTTTTCTCAAAATCAAAAAAATCTGACTTTTTCTAAAAAATTCTGACTTTCAAAAACTTCTGACTTTCTCAAAATCTCAAAATTCGAACTTTCTCAAAATCAAAACATTCAGACTTTTTCTGAATACTTAACATTTCATGTCATGTACACAGTTGGGTCTTTGTTATCATGTGTACTCTGATATTGGAAGAGTACATTCACTATTTTCCCAATAATATTAGACAGGTGGAGGAGGAGGAAGTATCGCAGGTAAGTTCTTCCTGCAGCGGTAGGAATGATGTATAACCACAACGGCCCCTGGAAGACCACCACACAATATGGGCTATAACATACTGCTGTTGTTCAATAACCCTGTGCAATATATACAATTTCTATAACTGGCACATTTATTTTAATGCAATACTTAAAGAGGCCCTATGATGAGTTTTTCCTTTTCCTTTGTGCTAAAATCCCTGTGTTTCCCCCCTGCCTGAAACGCCTCCATTGGACTCCTTTGTTTACTTCAGTTATTTGTGACATCACTATGTAACACTGAGCTTCTATTAGCGCTCTAACGCATTGTACATGATAAGCTAAGGGGCGGGACATCTCTAAGCGGTTGACCAATCACAACAGAGCCGGCCAGCTAATCAATCAGAGCAGACTGGGCTCTGGTTTCAGACAGAGGGTGAAAAGAGGTGCGGCAGCACAGGCAGTATGAGCATTAAAGCATGGAGACATGTCCCAGTAGAGACACTAAGTACAAAAATGTGCATAATATGTCCTATTTAATGCTGTATAGACCGTTTACTACTTCTAACTGTTATTACTTGCGGCTAACTTTATATATTCACTTTCATAATGCTGCTACAGTACTTATCTTTCTATCTTGGATGTGTACTTATAAGGGCAGAGCACTGGTGGTAATCAATTAGGTTTATTAAGCAAAGGATATTAAGATAATTCTTTAAAGCCACAAGCAATAAAGTTTCTTTCTTTAAGTGAATACATTTGTTCAGTTCACTGCAGGACATAATGAGCTCTGGCTAATGTGTAGGGCAGCACTAGAACAAATTGTTAGAGAGAAGCAGCATGATTCATCAAATGAGTCTGTCTAGACGACTTCAGATAATGAGTATTTGGGAAAATGTCGAGATAAAGAAGGACGACCTTGCTCAACCTGCTGTATCTGTGTATTCCCATAAAGCTGATGTGATAAAGAATAGCACGCTTTCTCTTTTGAATCAAAGCTGAAGACTTTTCTGTTTGCTGCCGCCTTTTATTACATCTAATAACTGTTCATATCTTACACTGCACTGCCACATTTATTCATGTATTTTGACAGGTTTTTTTTAAGCAATCTTAATTCTTTTAATGTTTTTTATAAAGCGCGATTAATTGCCTTGTGTTGAAATGTGTTGTATGAATAAACCTGACTTGCCTTTACAATGTAGTGGATGGATTTATTAACACAGGTTATATGTGCATGAAAAGTCTACAAACCAGTGGGTGACTTACAAAATGGTGGCTTTTTTTTTTACAGTCCATGTGATGTACACATTATTTCTTGAACGTTTTGAAAAAGGGATATTATTTACGAAAAAATTGTAATTAAAAAAATATATAATATAATAAAACAACATGATAATGTGTGATTTTTTTGGGAGGATCTGTACACAATAAAATGTGTAGAATACATTTAAGTTTCCTTTTGACAAATATTTAAACTTTCACAAACATTGCATCACTTGTCATTTGGATATTTTACTCGCACACATTGCGATTCAACTTCAAATAATAGTTCATCTTGTATTTTAGCAAAATGGTATCAGCCCACACTGCCTGCACATCAATCAAGAGGCTGAACACCTGCTGCTGTGCTTTGACAAATGTAGTAAACAAGTAATCAACAAGTAAATAAATAAACATTAATCACTGCATGTCGTCTAAGGACATCATGTGTGCAGAGATTAACATTAATACAGCCGCTGACCCTGTGTGTGTGTGTGTGTGTGTGTGTGGTGTGTGTGTGTGTGGTGTGTGTGTGTGTGTGTACGATGACCACAGGAGCGCTAAGACATGCTACATTAGCATTCGTCATTAGCAGTGAGTGCCTGCTCCTGTGTGTTTATCGCAACGTTAAATAATGAGCCTGAGAGTGAGGCAGAGTGAGGAGGAGTGAGGCAGATTGAGACAGAGAGAGGCAGAGTGAGGCAGAGTGAGGTGAGGCAGAGTGAGGCAGAGTGAGACAGAGTGAGGCAGAGTGAGGCAGATTGAGACAGAGAGAGGCAGAGTGAGACAGAGAGAGGCAGAGTGAGGTAGAGTGAGGCAGAGTGAGACACAGTGAGGCAGAGTGAGACAGTGAGGCAGAGTGAGACAGAGTGAGGTAGAGTGAGGCAAGAGTGAGGCAGAGTGAGGAGGAGTGAGGAGGAGTGAGGCAGAGTGAGACAGAGTGAGGCAGGGTGAGGCAGAGTGAGGCAGAGTGAGGCAGAGTGAGGTGAGGCATAGTGAGGCAGAGTGAGACAGAGTGAGGAGGAGTGAGGAAGATTGAGACAGAGAGAGGCAGAGTGAGGTGAGGCAGAGTGAGGCAGAGTGAGACAGAGTGAGGCAGAGTGAGGCAGAGTGAGGCAGATTGAGACAGAGAGAGGCAGAGTGAGGCAGAGTGAGACAGAGAGAGATAGAGTGAGGTAGAGTGAGGCAGAGTGAGACACAGTGAGGCAGAGTGAGACAGAGTGAGGTAGAGTGAGGCAAGAGTGAGGCAGAGTGAGAAGGAGTGAGGAGGAGTGAGGCAGAGTGAGGCAGACTGAGGCAGGGTGAGGCAGAGTGAGGCAGAGTGAGGCAGGGTGATACAGAGAGAGGCAGAGTGAGGCAAAGTGAGGCAGAGTGAGGCAGAGTGAGGTAGAGTGAGGCAGAGTGAGACAGAGTGAGGCAGGGTGAGGCAGAGTGAGGCAGAGTGAGGCAGAGTGAGGCAGGGTGAGACAGAGAGAGGCAGAGTGAGGCAAAGTGAGGCAGAGTGAGGCAAGAGTGAGGCAGAGTGAGGCAAGAGTGAGGCTGAGTGAGGCAGAGTGAGGCAGAGTGAGGCAAGAGTGAGGTAGAGTGAGGCAGAGTGAGGCAGAGTGAGGCAAGAGTGAGGCTGAGTGAGGCAGAGTGAGGCAGAGTGAGGTAGAGTGAGGCAGAGTGAGGTGAGGCATAGTGAGGCAGAGTGAGACAGAGTGAGGAGGAGTGAGGAAGATTGAGACAGAGAGAGGCAGAGTGAGGTGAGGCAGAGTGAGACAGAGTGAGGCAGGGTGAGGCAGAGTGAGGCAGAGTGAGGCAGAGTGAGGTGAGGCATAGTGAGGCAGAGTGAGACAGAGTGAGGAGGAGTGAGGAAGATTGAGACAGAGAGAGGCAGAGTGAGGTGAGGCAGAGTGAGGCAGAGTGAGACAGAGTGAGGCAGAGTGAGGCAGAGTGAGGCAGATTGAGACAGAGAGAGGCAGAGTGAGGCAGAGTGAGACAGAGAGAGGCAGAGTGAGGTAGAGTGAGGCAGAGTGAGACACAGTGAGGCAGAGTGAGACAGAGTGAGGTAGAGTGAGGCAAGAGTGAGGCAGAGTGAGAAGGAGTGAGGAGGAGTGAGGCAGAGTGAGGCAGACTGAGGCAGGGTGAGGCAGAGTGAGGCAGAGTGAGGCAGGGTGATACAGAGAGAGGCAGAGTGAGGCAAAGTGAGGCAGAGTGAGGCAGAGTGAGGTAGAGTGAGGCAGAGTGAGACAGAGTGAGGCAGGGTGAGGCAGAGTGAGGCAGAGTGAGGCAGGGTGAGACAGAGAGAGGCAGAGTGAGGCAAAGTGAGGCAGAGTGAGGCAAGAGTGAGGCAGAGTGAGGCAAGAGTGAGGCTGAGTGAGGCAGAGTGAGGCAGAGTGAGGCAAGAGTGAGGTAGAGTGAGGCAGAGTGAGGCAGAGTGAGGCAAGAGTGAGGCTGAGTGAGGCAGAGTGAGGCAGAGTGAGGCAAGAGTGAGGTAGAGTGAGGCAGAGTGAGGCAGAGTGAGGCAAGAGTGAGGCTGAGTGAGGCAGAGTGAGGCAGAGTGAGGTAGAGTGAGGTGAGGCAGAGTGAGGCAAGAGTGAGGCTGAGTGAGGCAGAGTGAGGTAGAGTGAGACAGAGTGAGGTGAGACAGAGTGAGGCAGAGTGAGGTAGAGTGAGGCAGAGTGAGGTAGAGTGAGGTAGAGTGAGGCAGAGTGAGGTGAGGCAAGAGTGAGGCAGAGTGAGGTAGAGTGAGGCAGAGTGAGGTGAGACAGAGTGAGGCAGAGTGAGGTATAGTGAGGTGAGGCAGAGTGAGGCAATAGTGAGGCAGAGTGAGGTAGAGTGAGGTGAGGCAGAGTGAGGCAATAGTGAGGCTGAGTGAGGCAGAGTGAGGTAGAGTGAGGCAGATTGAGGTAGAGTGAGGTAGAGTGAGGCAGAGTGAGGCAAGAGTGAGGCTGAGTGAGGCAGAGTGAGGTAGAGTGAGACAGAGTGAGGTGAGACAGAGTGAGGTAGAGTGAGGCAGAGTGAGGTGGAGTGAGGTAGAGTGAGGCAGAGTGAGGCAAGAGTGAGGTAGAGTGAGGCAGAGTGAGGCAGAGTGAGGCAAGAGTGAGGCTGAGTGAGGCAGAGTGAGGCAGAGTGAGGCAAGAGTGAGGCTGAGTGAGGCAGAGTGAGGCAGAGTGAGGCAAGAGTGAGGCAGAGTGAGGCAGAGTGAGGCAAGAGTGAGGCAAGAGTGAGGCAAGAGTGAGGCTGAGTGAGGCAGAGTGAGGCAGAGTGAGGTAGAGTGAGGTGAGGCAGAGTGAGGCAAGAGTGAGGCTGAGTGAGGCAGAGTGAGGTAGAGTGAGACAGAGTGAGGTGAGACAGAGTGAGGCAGAGTGAGGTAGAGTGAGGCAGAGTGAGGTAGAGTGAGGTAGAGTGAGGCAGAGTGAGGTGAGGCAAGAGTGAGGCAGAGTGAGGTAGAGTGAGGCAGAGTGAGGTGAGACAGAGTGAGGCAGAGTGAGGTATAGTGAGGTGAGGCAGAGTGAGGCAATAGTGAGGCAGAGTGAGGTAGAGTGAGGTGAGGCAGAGTGAGGCAATAGTGAGGCTGAGTGAGGCAGAGTGAGGTAGAGTGAGGCAGATTGAGGTAGAGTGAGGTAGAGTGAGGCAGAGTGAGGCAAGAGTGAGGCTGAGTGAGGCAGAGTGAGGTAGAGTGAGACAGAGTGAGGTGAGACAGAGTGAGGTAGAGTGAGGCAGAGTGAGGTGGAGTGAGGTAGAGTGAGGCAGAGTGCCATTTCTACACTGTAGCTTTGTGCATATGACAATAAAACCTTTGCATCGTTGATCTGTGGTAGTCATACCTGCTCCAGCAGATCCTCCACCTTCCTCTGCCAGCTCTCCCTGGCGCTGCTCAGCTCCTGCTCTTTGCTCTGAGCCAGCTGACTCAGCGCCAACGCCTTGTCCTCCTCATGGTCCTCTCTCAGCTCCTCACGCAGCTTCTTACACTCCTGCCTGCAACACACACACACACACATTTATGTTTAAGAGCATAGCTTATACTGCGATCGACAAAACCACAAAAACCAGCATCGTTTCTTTATGGAACTGTTAATTGAAGTTTCCAGAAAGCCAATAGAGCAAAGAAAGCCTACACATGAATAATCAGTACAATAAAAAAATAACCATGTGATAAATGAAGAATGTATATGTGAGTGTTTGTTAAAGGCAGAACAGCTGAAGAGAAGCCTTAAATCATAGTAGAGTTCTGTGATCTGTAGAGCCCTACATTTAATAAAAACAAATGTATATATCTGATAGTAATGACATCATTTTTACAATTTCCAAATACGAATAAACCAATGATTCACAATGTAAACAGATTATTTCTGCAGCTAAAAACGATGCTACAGTATAAGAGAAAACAGTGGACCATCCAACCACAAATATTTGCATTGCAGCTTTGATTTATGGTCCATCTAAGTTGGCTCGGACTTTGCTGAAGTTGCAAATGAGATTTAAGGATGACTTCGGAAGTCTTTGATAACGGCCACATTTCCATAAAATTATAAAGATTCAACGAACTGCAAGTGGAGTTTAATACAATTCCTTAATCATTAAAACCATTGGTTCTATTTCTAAAAGCTCTTAATCTCTCAGAACATAATGTGTTTTTTTTAATGCACATTTTGTTGTTTTTGTTGGCATGACTTTTTTTAAATGGCTCACAACAATATCTGGTACAATGAAAGTCTCAGTCAATCTTATGAGGGCTCAATATCTGCTTAAAGGGACTAATAAATGGTCCTTTTACATTAAACACTGCATCTATTGAGAGACCAACAGCTTTTTGCATGGCTGTGTGTGTGTGTGTGAGAGTGTGTGAGTGTGAGTGTGTGTCAATATAATAGCTGTGTAGGAGTGGAGATGGCAGCTGTTAAACGAAGTATCGAGGCAAACACATTTCTTTGACACTTTGACAGCCAGAAAGTGTCAGACTCTCAAACCCACTGCAATATGCACAGAAAAACACACACACAATAATTCACAAAGCAGTTCAGTCACACACCAAACAGTCATCATGCAGCACATGTCATCATTCATGTCCTCGTTCTTTTCTTCATAAAGCATGCTGACAGTCTTCAATGCACACACACACACACACACACACACACACACACACACACACACACACACACACACACACACACACACACACACACACACACACACACACACACACACACACACACACACACACACACACACACACACACACACACACACACACACACACACACACACACACACACACACACACACACACACACACACACACACACACACACACACACACACACACACACACACACACACACACACACACACACACACACACACACACACACACACACACACACACACACACACACACACACAGACAGAAAGGCCTTGGGCTTCAAAGAGCTCTGGTCTTCCTAATAAGCGTTGCTCTATAGCGTCTGGGCAGATGGAGAGAGGTAAAGGAAAGTGGGTGAAGGAACTGTCAGAAGACGGAGGAAGCATGGGGATAAAATGTGGGATAATTGGCTGATCCTGCGAGATACGAGGCACATGTTCTCAGTTAAGACACTGAAATCCTCGTGCATGGAATACACTCCTCTCCTCCGACAGCAACGACCAGCTGCCAGAGACTCACAGGATGTAAGAAGTCTGATCATGAAACATCGGTACTGATGTCTCTGCAGCGGCTACTAGTTCACACCAGAGCTGGTTAATAATCCTGCTTTTATATTCAACACAAGCTCTGTTGGTGATGTTAAATCCAGGCTGAATACACGTCTTCTTTCTATTCATTACAGTCCGAGACCTCCTTAATCACAACCACTGTGTACCCAAGTCATATTGTTTTATCTATGTTTTAACAAATTCATTATGACATTAGTGTGGTGAGTGATTTCACAGCTAATAGTGTTTGTTTTCTTTTCCCTTGTTGTTTACTGGCTTGCAAAGTGTGTTAGGGAGTAATTTGCTAAGGTATTCAACCTCCGACACAGTTCATCATTTTCTCCTTTCACTGTCTCCTTTCCCATGGCATAGGTCTACGGCCTTGGGTATCGCTGCTATCTCTCTTAAGGAGGGGCAGCTTGGGCGCATTGTTGTTCCCAGCTTATGACGGAGCACAAGCTGACATGAGATAGTTTATGGTTCAGGGACATCTGGATGCCCTTCTTTTCTGTTACGTAGGTTCCCTGGTGCACATTCTTTTCTATGGACGACAGCAGTTCGATTCAGGGTCCATATTTGTTTAGTTTCGCTGATGAAGAATGTTGATTATTCCACTCTGAACTAGTTAAAACCTCCTACCAGAGAGGAGAACCCTCAGCATTGATTGTGGCATCTCAACCCGTGGCCCGTGACATGTCTTGTGAATTCTCCGGCCAAAGCTCCAAATAAACCGTCAGTGTTTGCCATCAAAGCTCCAGCTCTCCATCGTGTCTCTCCGAGTCCTGTCTCCAATTGCTTCAGAAGTTTCCCCCACAAAGTGCAAATGGTTTTCCCTTTTCTGTAGTGTGTTATAAGCATATGGGTTTGTGTGCATGTAAATGGTCTGCAAAGGCTAAAGTGTGCGGGAGAGAAACTGTATGTGTGTTCTCACAATATGTCATCTTTCTAATAGTGTCATATATATATATATTACATAAGCCTAGCCGGAGCTTAATCACTAGAGTGTCTGGATTTCATAAAGTACACATACAAATGTATATAAAGTTACAAGGTGTCTCAAACAACAATTTGAATGCCTTTGACAACTTTAAATACCCACAGCTCACCTGCTGTAATACATTCTGTCTTTTAGAAATAACTGTGTACACCTGACTTCCTCTTTGTAGAAACATTCAATACGATTTTTGAAAAGTTTATTCAAATCCTGCAACATGTGGGCTTTCAATTTGAAGGAAATGCCTAAGGAAATTAGGTTTTCAACTTGGATTCTGTTGTCAGCAGGCAGATAAACACACTAACATTTTCATTCACATAGCAAGTGCCCTTCTACCTACCATTTATGTATTTTATTAAATATTTTCTTCTTTGTGGCTAAATATTTCCAATAAATAGCTCTTGTGCGGAAAATTCTCTTCTCAAATTACTTCCTCCAAGGTCACTAACAAACCCTCAAGCCAAACATTTCTGTCGATATTTTTGAAAATGAACGTTCTCAGAGGGAAACAGGTTAACAAAGAAAGCTTTGAAAACATGCTCAGACCAAGGACTCGTGCTGTTATCGTCGACTTCCTTTTTTAATTACGTTATTCTCAACAGCTATGTATTGAAGAACGGCCAGGAAATGATGTTTGGAGCTTCAGAAACTTTAAAAGAGGCTGCAGTGTCACGTCCATCTGAGATGAAAGTCACACGGCTGCAATAAAAGCTCTTCACAAACACTCAGATGGGATTAGAGCTACTGTACGTGGTAATGAGGGGGATTATATATTAGCGGTCCTCCTGGTGTTTAGCTTGTTAATGTCAATGACAAATCACAGGCGGAGCTACAGAGTTTACACACGTTTTCCCAATCCTGCTTTTATACCATCTCTGCGGGGGGGATAATGCAAAGATTACCAAAGGCATTTGTTTTCATCCTCTGAGGATCATGAGTCCTCCACAACTTTGTACGTTTACTTTAGTCCTGTACTTAACCCTTAAAAGGTTTCTGTATACAGTCATTTGACAGGCTGCGTCCATCAAGTGGGTGTGATATAGGTTTAATAAGGGTGTAAAACAGGTGTGATAATGGTGTAACATGGGTGTAATATAGTATAATAAGGGTGTAAAACAGGTGTGATAATGGTGTAACATGGGTGTAATATAGTATAATAAGGGTGTAAAACAGGTGTGATAATGGTGTAACATGGGTGTAATATAGGTATAATAAGGGTGTAAAACAGGTGTGATAATGGTGTAACATGGGTGTAATATAGGTATAATAAGGGTGTAAAACAGGTGTGATAATGGTGTAACATGGGTGTAATATAGTATAATAAGGGTGTAAAACAGGTGTGATAATGGTGTAACATGGGTGTAATATAGGTATAATAAGGGTGTAAAACAGGTGTGATAATGGTGTAACATGGGTGTAATATAGGTATAATAAGGGTGTAAAACGGGTGTGATAATGGTGTAACATGGGTGTAATATAGGTATAATAAGGATGTAAAAAGGTGTGATAATGGTGTAACATGGGCGTAATAACGGATAAATAAGGGTGTAAAACAGGTGTGATAATGGTGTAACATGGGTGTGATATAGGTTTAATAAGCGTGTAAAACAGGTGTGATAATGGTGAAATGAGAGGGTATTATTGTGTAATATGGATGTAATCTAGAAAATAACAATCAATCAATATTCACATGTGAATGCTCATTTAAGGGTTAAGTACAACTTTGAAGTACATGATCTGTACTGAATCATTTCCTCCTATTTCAAACAATTCAAAGGTAAATGTTGTACTTTTTACTTTATACATTTATTTAATAGATGTAGTTAGTTACTCCTACTATCACACTAATACTGTGTACTGTATGTTTATAAACCACATGTTATCTATCATGTATTTTACGTTAAGAAAAACTGTATTGATCCCTTGGTCGACCGAACAATCTGTAACACCCAATAATGCATGAATAATTATAATTAAAATATATAACAATTTTGAAATGAGACTTTTTGCATAATAAGTCCCTTTACTTTTTGTAATTTAAGTACATTTTGATGCTAACATCTATAATCACTTTAATTAAAGTAAGGTTTTGAATACAGGACTTTTTACCTTTAACACAGTATTTCTTCACTTTTGAATTCACTGAACTTTATTACTACATTTATTGAAGTAAAAGATTAGAGATGAAGTAATATAAGATAATAATAAGATGCTATAAGATAAAATAGGGAAAGAGAATCCTTTATTTGTAATGTATCCCACAGTAGGAGGAGCCTGGGAGTAAATGTGTAGC